TGGGGGATGGAGATGATACTCACTGGCCAGCCAGCTAGCCAACATGGCAAGTTCCTGTCCTACAAGAACCCCTGTGTCAAGGGAATAAGGCAGGGAATGATGGCAGAAAGCATCCACTGTCCCCTCTGACCTCCACATGAGGCCACTCAGGCACACGTATTTGCGCTGTCACATGCATGTACCACACACATGAAAAAAATTCGTCAAAAAGTTTAAAGACCAAATCACTTAGTTTCTTCTTGTTGACCTACTGTGTTCCAGTTGCTGTTTCTTGTCTCCGACAAGCACTTTCTGAGGTAATGAGGAAAGTAGGACCACTCGATGCTTGGGGTTTCTTTGGCATATTTTATGAGATCTTATATTTTCTGAAATAGTTGAATTCTAGCTTAGGTTTGTGCTTAGCAGGAACTTCCTGTTGATGATGTTGACACGGATGTAATAAGAAGGAAAGGACTGGAGGGCAGTTCACACTGGATCTCTGGACTCTGAGTTCTCTCCTCACCCCGCTGTAGCAGCAACAGCAGCAGCAATATACTGAAACTATGGTATGATTTACCTTAATTAGCATAACAAATTGCCTCACATTTTCAAAAAGTGCTAATAGATGTTAACTCAAAATAGATTAAAATACCAGACAAATTGTACTACTTTAAAACGAGTTATAATAATCTTGAAGATGTAGATCATGGTTAGGCTGTCTTTGGAGCGAATGACAAAATCTAATCTTTCTTGTATACTTTTTAAAAACCTGGGGCATATGCTTTTTTTCCTTTCAATCACAGTAATTTTTTCAAATAACACTTCTGAGTTTTTCTTTAGGAAGACACTTCACTTTCCAAATCTCATGTGAAGTAAATTAGTTACCATTGAAGGAAAGATGTTATGAGGGATTATGTTTAAAACACCTTTATCCCCTCATTTATATTACATACATTTTATAGGTTAGAGAATGTTCCTTCACCCTAGCAAGTGGAATGGCACATGAACAAAATTTCTGCAGGTTTGTGTATGTCAGCATAAGACTGAAGATGGCTGGGGGCTGGAGAGATGGCTCAGCAGTTAAGAGCACTGCCTGCTCTTCCAAAGGTCCTGAGTTCAATTCCCAGCAACCACATGGTGGCCCACAACTATCTGTAATGAGGTCTGGTGCCCTCTTCTGGCCTGCAGACATACACACAGACAGAATATTGTATACATAATAGAAAGATAGATAGATAGATAGATAGATGATAGATTGATAGATAGATAGATAGATAGATAGATAGATAGATAGATAGATAGATGTTTTTAAAAAAAAGACTGAAGATGGCTTGGTTTCCCCTGATATCTTACACCAAGCTCAAGCCCCTCTTCGGCACAAGAGCACGTTTAGAGTCTACAAGAAGAAGTAAGCGTCACATTTACTTCTGAGGAGCCAGTGAACATAACGGCATATACAATCTACCATTAGCACCACCCGGAGACATTATAAGTAAAAATAGAGCACACGCCGCACTCTCTCCGCGTAACATTTCCCCAGCCAAAGTCTGAAATGGTTTGCTTGCGTGCTCTCTTCTGCGTTCTCTGGAATTTACAGTGCGCAGTTAGCAGAAGGGTTGCTTAGAAGATGCACGTTATCTACTGAGGCCCGCCATTGTCCGTTCCATCGCAGCTACACAAAGCCGACCTGTTCTTAATATCCTACGAAAGCCAGAGCATTCCCATGATAGCATCTCTATTCTTAAATACAGGTTTACCTTACTTCATGAAAAAGAAATAGATAAATTAAATTCCGTTGAATCAAAGGAAGTGATATTAGGGGAGCTGATGAAATAAATTAACCCTCCCTTGAAAGGGTTTGCTAATGTGAAAAATTCTTACCTTAATTTATACACTTCATAAATCTGTGTCTCTGGGTATCGAGTTTGCTTAAGGTGAATTACATTCCTCTTTCTGGAGAAGCTATACACTGGAATTTTTTTCTTCTTAAAATTGATTCTCCAAAGAAATTACCTGTCAGCCTATACACAAAACTGCCCTGCCGTGGGTGGATTGGGAAGGAGGTGCAGTGTGCTCCCCCCCCCCCCCCCCCCCGTTCTGCCTGCTCTAGTGAGTAGTCCCTTCCTGCTAAGTGCCTGAACTGCGTGTGCACTTGCTCTCCTTTCCCAGCGTTCTCTCTGACTGTGGCTCCTGTGCTCTCTCAGAGAAGCCACTTTCATCCCAGTGTGTTAGGAACACAGTCCCCTGACGCAGAGATCCTAAACCCGCAAGTGTGTTAGGAACACACACGTCCCCTGACGCAGAGACCCTAAACCCGCAAGTCTTGTAGACCAGGCCTTCTCAAACCCTGGCCACGCACATCCCTGTTCATTATACAGAATGTTACATTACCCCGGCATATCCGCTAGTAAAATAGGTCTACAAATCAAACATTTGCTGATCAGAGATCACAGAGAAATTCATTTAAAAATAATACTTTGGCATACAAACAATCTTACCACTTTTTAAAAGATGAAAGCAAGTTGGTCCCTGCTGAGGTGGGTGTACTTGTTAGGGGAAGAATCCAGTCTTGGGTGAGTATTAGCTACTGTGGATCATAGAGCATCTTCAGTGCTGTTCAGACTGACTGGGACTCAGACTTTATAATTGTCTGTGCCGGAAACATAAATACATATTCATAGTTCAAAATGGCAGAGGTATATCTAGAGCCATCTTAGAAATTATTAGAGATTGTCCTGTCCCACACCAAAATTCATTTATAAAAATTTTTAATGAAACTCAGATAGCAGTTCTTAAAAATCAAACATTCTAACAATGCACAATCCAAATTTGACACTTACATGGTGGTAGAAAAATAGACAAAAGTCTTTGCTTTTAGTAATTAAACCATTCTGTAGCTTTAAGAGCAGAAACCTTGAACGTGCAGTACAAACACTGCAGCTCCTAGCTGCATGACCATGAGACCATGTGTTTCAGGAAGCCTTCCTCGCTGGAGCTGTGTCGCGTGGCATCCACAGTGCCAAGTCCATGTGCTGTGGGTTCAGAACCTAGGGCCTCTGTGAACTCAGACTACACAGTATGGACAAGCACTGCCAGAAGCATCTCTGATTGAAATAACATTTAATTTTAAATCAATGTTCAGCCCTTGCATGCTCAGAAACCATCTGCCGCCAGACTTTAAAACCTTCACATTTATCTATACAACTTGTGGAGGTCACAATCCACAATTCAAGAAGCTGGGCTGTCCACTCCTGAAATCATCAAGTAGAACAGTTGTCCTGCCTGGGAAGTATGCCCTAAAGATTGCCCTTGCTCTGACTGTTTGCTTGAGAGCATTGTGACCACCCTTAGGAAGGTTTACTTCGGATACATGTAGAAGCGGAATGATCCTGATCAGCACTGCGAGGATAGGGTTGTCTCATACACATCCCTAGTTAAGTCCTGCTTCAGTAACTCTCCATCAATTACCTGCTGCACTAACTGGCACTGCCGTCCAGGGGACTCCTCGCGTCAGTCGTGGTGCTGGGCATAAGATTACAACAGGTCTACAGTGTAAGTCCCTTCGCCTTGTTTTCATAGCTGAGCAATCCAATGAGAGAGAGAGAGAGAGAGAGAGAGAGAGAGAGAGAGAGAGAGAGAGAGAGAGAGAGAGAGAGANGAGAGAGAGAGAGAGAGAGAGAGAGAGAGAGAGAAAGAGAAAGAGAGAAGGATTTGAACAAGCACGTCATAACTAGAGAACTGTCCTGACAGCAGGACATGGAGGTCCATATCTAAAAATGTCACCTCTTGGAAGGTTTAGCATCTTGTGCTTGATGCCAGCCCGGTTATATAGCAATGACCCCGTCTTAAACCCTCTGATGAAGATTAAGTGTCACCAGCACAAAGTGACCATGGCAGTTCTCAGTATTAAACAAAAATACCACCCTGCCTAAGTTTCAAGTCACCTGTTAGGAAAAGTACAAACAAGAGAATAAGTGAATGATCGGTATAATTCTAAGCTTACTTTCAAGACAAGCAGCTAGGGCTTCTAGGATTGTTCAGGCTTTGGGGATTTTGTTGTTGTTGTTGTTGTTGTTTTTCTTGTGGTGGTGATGATTTCCAATAATGAACATCAAGAAAGATGTTCAAAAATGTTTACCACAAAAATCTTCATTCAGACTTAACTCAGTATAGCTTACACAGTACAAATGAAATATTGATGTATTTGAAAATGCCCAAGTTTGAATAAAGATTTTAAATAAAGCTACCTATAAGTTGTGGTTCTTAGGTTAATCATCTATTTATCTAAAGGATGAAGGAAGCTGTCTACTTCTGTGATATGAACTGCAGTCAGCTTAAAAATAATCGACAAATTAATCCCTTCACAGCACAGCAATTGTAAAGGTGTTAGTTTTAATTAGGCCTGTCTGATTGCCTTGTCTAATCAAGAATCACGGTGGCTTCTTTGACGGCTAAGGTCTGTTGGGGCCATCCCTGACCTGCCAGCTATGTGTGTTTTAATTATTGATCCCTCGCATTTCAGCCCTTCTCACAAAGGGACTGGGGTTTGCAATGTCTTAACATTTAAAGGGAAGAAAAACAAACATTTTCCCTTGCCCTTCCATCTGGAATCCTGTGTAGCCACCTGCCCCTCCCCCACTGTAAAGTGTTCATCCTGAAGGGCTCTCCTGTGGGTGAGGAAGTCAAAGGTCCGCCAGCATGCCATCTCCTTGTTTCCTTCCTCCCTGCTCTGGCTTTTTAATGGTCGTTGCTAAGGTCTTGGCAAATCACAGTCATTTAGTCGTTTATGTTTAGCAGGTACATTTGATTTCATGACATCTTGTTTAATTAAAAATCCATAGGAGCAGATGTAGTGCTGGGAAATCAGAGGCGTCAGACTAAAGGAAAACATATGTTTCCAGCAAACACGTCCTCACACCGCTAAGCGGAAAGGAAGGGGAGAGCCCAGTTCCTGTTGCACTGCACGCCCCATGTGGTGCTGGTGGTCCCTGTGTATGACGGTGGCTCTTCTTTGCTCCCAGGTGAACGAGGTGACGGTTGAGCAGCTGGTGCAGCAGTACCCCCACATCACCTTCAGCACCGTTCTGCAGGACTGCAAGAGGACCTTGGAGAGAGCCTACCAGATGGGCTGGACCCCCAACATGTCTGCCGCTTCCTCCTGAGCAGGGCAGAGCAGTGGGGGGCAGGGCTGGGGTAGCGGTTTTAACCACCACCTGTCTGTCTGGACCCATGTTCTATTTGTGTCTTGTTTGCCTACTGCATAGCATAAGTGCACTTGTTATGTCCCCAGGTGAGCTGCCTTGTGTTCCTAAAAATGGAAGATTATGAAAACCATAAAAACTTTTTTTTTAATCCAAAAGTTTATTTCTTTAAAAAAAGACATTGTGAAATCTCGTCAGAAAGCTGGGTGTATTATTTTGAGCGTCTAAGTTCTGCCACATCTTGGAGATGCTCGGCCAAAGGCTTTCTTTTGTGATAGAATACGCTGTTCACTTCTGATTAGACCAGAACAGGAGACACACCTGCAGTTCCACGCTCGTGGACCCTCATGTCTGTGCACGTATGCTCAGTGAATGTCTTGATAAGTTATATGCTGACTGAGGGACCTTCCTGGAGGCCATGGGGGGAGCATGCCATTCCCAGTGGTAATGGCTGACTTTCTGTGCCCACAGGTGGTCAACTTGCTGTCTTGTGGGTACCTTAGGAACTAGAGAGAATAAATAAAGCCTTTTGTAAATTTGTATATGGAGGCAACCATCCCTGGCCAGCTCACAAAAGTTAATTATTCATTGTTCTGTAAATGCTTTTCTGTTGAGTAATAAATATTTTAGTTGGTTTTACATTGACACCTTGTTAGCTTTTACTTTGTGGGTAGTTATTGGCCAGGGTATATTTTAGTGACATTTGGGGCTCATCTTAACATTATCCACATTGAAGCTACGAATGTAGTTATTGGTGTGCAGTTATTTTAAAAATTTTAGAGATGATTTCATTATTTTGGCAATTTTGGTAATTATGAAAATATATTCTGAGGTGGAGTAGTCACATTGGTAGAAGATTAATGAATGAGATGTAAGTAGACAATCTTCCTATTGAATATTTTCTTTTGCATTGGGATTTAGAACAGGTTTTTGGATATATGCATGTTATAATTTTGAATAGTTCTCACACTACTGCAGAGATCTACTGTTAGCTAATGTATGAGTTAAGGAGAGAGTTAGAAAATCTGTTCATTAAGATTCTGTTTGCACTTGCCAGAAATAAGTATTTTAGTTTAATTAAATGTTCCCAGCATTTAGTTATCTCAGTTGCTATCAGAAAATGAGTATATGTTTTGATTCCACACATCCTTCCAGTTAATCCATTGTAGGGACTCGGGCTCCAGGAACCTCTCCTGGGTCTGGTCTGTAATCAGGCGGCAGGGAGCCTCTTCAAGCTAAAGAGTGATTAACTTTCATAGTAGGAGAAGCAAAACCTTGACCTTTGAACTTGCTATTTATTCTCCCCTCGTGTGGTCTTTGGTCTTTGACAATTATGATGAGGTCTGACTTTATTTCCTGTAAACCTTGATGCTCCTGACGTGATACGAGCCGCAAGAAGCAGAAAGCAGCCTTCCGTCTGAATGCCATTCACATACGTACGAGAACTACTTTCCTATAGAAATGTTGGTTTCCTTCGAGTATGTCAACATGCTTCTGATGTGGCATTTTCCTTTTTTGCTTTAATTCCTATCAGTTAAAAATAAATACTGAGCAAGTATCAGGAATGTTTTTTTTTTTCCACAGCCAAACAGGTTGCTAGTTTAGTTTGAAAGAAATACAAATTGTTTAAGAAAAAGTTGTTTACCACTAGAAAACTACATTTCTTCTTATACATTGAACTGTATCATTTTATATCCATTTCTTCGCTACTAAAAAAAAATGTTATTTCATAATACTTTAACTGCTTTTTAACCCAAAAGTAATTTATAAGACTATGTGTATAGTAATAGTAGCTTGAATGAATAAACACAAGTTTAACTTTTATATGTCACATTGTATGTTAAATAGCTACACAAGGACAAAAGAAGGAAAAGTCATCTTTGATATAGATGGCATGATTTCAGTTCCAAGTTGAGATCATCTTTGGAATGTTCCGGTGAAGTCGCCGGTGGTTTCAGACGGTAGAATGAATTGTGTAAATGCTGCATTCTTTGAAGCTGAAGCCCGGCACTCTAACACGCTTTAGCTTGGGGGTGGGGCTGCACTTACTCTCTAAGATGCTGATAATACAGAAAAGCTGTGCAACAGAACTGGGAAGCTGCTTTGGCTCATTTATAGAACTCTGTAGAAGTATCATATCCAGCCTCAAAGTATTAATCTCATAGAAACAAACAAAAACAAAAAACAGCCAAGAAAAGCATCACCTCCGTGACCCTGTGGAGGGTGTTGAATGTGCTCTCATTAGACGCTTTGAAATGAGGCTTAAAATACTTTTTCTGGGCAATATAGTTCCTTTTTTGCTTAGCCTGTCATAAATACATGTGAACACATTTAATGCGGGGCTGTTTATCCTCTCCAAATGTCAACAGTATTTTCAGAATAAAGCCTATGAAATTTATTGCTGCCGTGGAAAAGTCTGGTCCTTTGTATTTAATGTCCTTTTGAGTGGATAAAGAAAATTCACCCAGTTTGTAGTTTCTATATTTCTGTGAATCTTTTGACCTTGCAATGGGTTGCAATAAAAGAGAAACCGAACTCCATGTCTTTTGTTTTCCTTTAGACACTAAATGAGCTCCCTGTGGCTGGCTGGGTGGGATGCACACGGTCATCGGTGCCCTTGTGTGTTTCACTGCGGACTTGCATAGCTTTGGCTAATCCGGAATGATAAGCGTGATTCAGAAACAAGACTCAGGCCTCATAAATGTAAGCAAGTGAATTGTTTAACATCCCATTTTATACGTGGTTACTCATTTGCTTAGTCATCTATTCATTTTCCCCCAAAGGCAAGTAAATAAATATAATACTAAGTGAGTAGCAGCCATGTGCTAGGTACAAGGGATTTAAAGATGAATGAAATTTATTCCCAGCTTCAAGTTGCTCATACTGAGTAAAGCAGCAGCCTGCATGCCACGCAGTGAATTGGAGCACGGCATAGGTAGTAGCAGAATTCAGAAAGAGCCCATTGCACTGCAGTCATAGATGAGTTAGTACGGAGATGTCCAAGTGACTCTGTCGAGTATGTGCTTGGAAATAGGGCAGGAGATGCCGTGGGGACTGTCATCAGAACACGGACCTGTCTAAAGTCATCATTTATTATTGAGATGGAGAACGAAGGGGTTTAAGTGAGCATTGTGTTTTTGGACACTCCAAAGATGGGGAAACAGAGAAGGAGACCGCAAAGGAAACCAGAGAAAGCGCATGTGAATGGAGGAAGAGAAGTCAAGTTCATGCTAGAAGCTCACACAGAGTTATCCAGCCTCATGATGCTGCAGAGGGAGATTGGAGTGAGAGTTGACCACTGGGGCCAGCACGCTGGCTCAGCAGATAAAGACACTGGCCCCAACCTGAAGGCCTGGGTTAATCCCTAACACCCACATGGTGGGAAAAAAAAACCAATTCTCTCTTCTTCTCTGACCACCTGTGCTTTATGGCGCATGAATCCTCTCTCTCTCTCTCTCTCTCATACACACACACACACACAACAATAAATAACTAATATTAATTGACTGGTAAAACATTAGGAGGTTTCATAAGTACAACTTTAATAATTTGCAATGGACAAAGCCTTACTCAAGTGGGTCTAATTTCTACGAGGCTAGTCTAACCACAAAATTATAGGTAAAATCTATAAACCAGTGAAGTCCTAAATACAACTTAGCAGATAAACTGCCTTAACATTGATTCTTAAAAAAAGTAAAAATAACAGATTCGCCAATTAAATAATAGAAATTATTCTTTATAGTTCTGGAGGTTAGGAAGTCACACCAGCAAGTTTGGTGACCATACAAATCCAGTGTTTGCTTCCAAGAAGATACCTCGACCACCATGGCCTTGACTGACAGAGAGGGAAGTGGGGGGAAAACTGCTCTGTTCCCGTCTGAGAAGGCGTTGATGTTATTACCCGTGGGGAAGATGGCCGCTGTCACATTCTAGTGGTTGGCTCAGTATTCTTGCTGTTGGGGTAAACGTCCAACATTATCCTTGGAAGAGACACAGACATTCAAACGGCAGTATCCATTAACACCAAATAAGACAAATTATGAGTGGTTTTTAAATGGATATAATGAAAATGTTCAAAATAATTCCTTATTTCTGTTACAAAAATCTTAGGGAACTAATACAAATAGGACTCATCGTTAACCAACCCCCCACCCCAAAAAAAAATTAAAAAAAAAAACCTAAGGAACATTTTCTTTGTGCCGGTTTTATTACCATTTAGCATAGGAAATGAAGGGCGCTGACAGCATACGATGATTCTTCTAGAATGGGAGAAACAAATTCTGAGTTAGGTATATCTAGTAAGAGTATCTTCCAAGACAGTCACAAAGCTCAAAGGAATGTATGCATTAAAATCAATAAAATAATCTAAGAGTTAGTTGGCTTAGTGTTACAATAGAATGTCCACTTACATCTTTTTAGATCAATGGCGAAGCAGAAAGGTGTGACCTTTTTAAACCCCTTATGGACTGGAGAAATGGCTCTGCAGTTAGGACCACTTAACTGCAGTTGCACAGAACCCAGATTCCATTCCCAGCACCCACATGGTAGCTAACAAAACATTTTATTAACAAATACATAGAGTAACATCCCCAATGCTGGTAGTGAAACCCAGGTCCTCACAAATGCTGGGCAAATATGTAACTAAGCTTCATGCCCAGCCCCCAGCAACATGACTCTGTAGATAAATTATCAAGCCATAATAATAGACAAAAAAAAATGTGTGAGGAGTGTGTGTGTGTGTATGTGTGTGTGTGTGCACACGTGCACACTCACTAGGATGTTCATAGGTAGAATTTCCAATATCTTAAGCCTGTTAGGAGACAATTCTTGGAGGGCCTTTGCGTTTCTGTACATCTTGAAAAGAGGTGCTCAGTGCCTTTGCTCTATGTCTTTACAAGGCTGTCCCTCAGACATGGCATACTTTCCAGGATGAAATATCTGTGCCTGCAAAGCCCTGTTCCCCCTATCACATGCACATCTTCATGTCCAGTCAACCACTCCTTTTTATTTCTTTGTACAATTTGGGTTGTCAGAACCTGCATAGAAAAGTGTAGATGGTTGGGCTTCTACCGCTCCTGCAAGGAGTCAGGCCCCAGGGAAGTCAGCTTGTGTCTTCAGCCAACATCCCCAAAACTGTTAAACTGACATGTCGGTCTACACGTGTTCTAAAAATTCCACACCACTCTTAGCTTTTAGCATGATAATTTCCCCCCTAATTGATCTGCTGATATAATGTCATTGCAACCAAAGTCCTTGTGCAATATTTTTCATCAAACTTAAGCTTATTCTCTCTTAAATTCATATAAAAAACAAAAGATTAAAAACAATCAAATAGCATTTAAGGAATAAGATTGTGGACTTTGCTTTACACATTTTGAGACATAACAAATAGTTGTTAAGGTGAGATGGCCCAGTAGATGGCCAAGTTTGACAGCTCATTCAATCCCTGAGACACGCATACATGGTAGGAGAAGAGAAAGCTCACTGACCAAGTTGTCAATAGGAACTAAAACAATGTGATAAAGGCTTCAGGACTAATGGAGCAAATCAGACATTCTTAAAATATCTAAACTATATTATGGAAATAGCAGTTGAAGTAAACGGGAAAGATTGGATACTCTAAAAAGTAGGAGGGCTAGCTGTGGGATGAAGTAATGGTGGCTTAGAGGCCAAGAGCTCCTGCTGCTCTTGCAGAGGACCCGGGTTCAGTTCCCAGCACCCATAAAACAGCTCATAACTGTAACTCCAGCCCTAGAGAAAATGACACTGTTAAAGGAGCTGTGGGCTGCTTCCTGACACCCAGCTCCCAGCCGCCAGGCTAGCTTATGCCCCAAAATAATAACACACAAACTGTATTCATTTAAACACTGCTCGGCCCATTTCTATTAATGTGTGTAGCACCACGAGGTGCGCTTACCAGGAACATTCTAGCCTACATCCATCCTGGGTCGGAGCTTCATCGTGTCTGCCTCAGAGAGCAGAGCTATGGCGTCTGAGCTCACTTCCTCTTCCTCCCAGCATTCTGTTCTGTTTACTCCACCCACCTAAAGGCTGGCCTATCAAATGGGCCAAGGCAGTTTCTTTATTAGCCAATGACCTTTCTCCATCACGACACCCTCTTCTGGCCCCTGCACATATTACACACACATGAGGCAAATACATACATTCAGGCAAAACACTCACACACATAAAATAAAAACAAACATAAAATATCAGCAGTTAAACTGGTTGTTTTACTATAAAAAAAAGCTTATTACAAATGAAATAAAAATTAACAAGTCAGAATCAGGATTCAAGGAATTTAGCACAAACTCTTGATGATATTGTGAACTTCATTTAGTGATCACAGAAACAAAACTGAGAAGCGCTGTTTAGAAAGGCGGAGATCGAGAATCTTGTTTATATTAAAATGAGTAACTCGGGGTTGGAGAAATGGCTTAGCAGTTAAGAGCACTGGCTGCTCTTCAGAGGTTCTCAGTTGAATTCCAAGCACCCACATGGTGGCTCACAACCATCTGTAGAAAGATCTGGCACCCTCTTCTGGCCAGCAGACATTCATGCAGACAGAACACTGTATACATAATAAATAAATAAATCTTTAAAAAAAAATAAAATAAAATGAGTACCTGCTACTCGTCAAAAGGCTAATATCAGAAGCTAACACGCAATATCTGTAACAAAAAGTTGTTCAAGAATGAACAGAATCCAGAATATACAAAAGTCCTCAGTGTTGAGTTAGTATGGACAAAGGGTGTGAACAGGCACTGAGAAGAAGGGAAAATACAGATGCCCAAATAATCATGGAAAACATACTCCAATCTGTGTTCTCATGAATGCAAACCCCAAAATATGAAGTTGATGACCAGTGGCAAAGCCGTGCGTGAGACTAAGTATGGGGAACAAAGCAATGGAGCTAGCTCTCATGTTTGCCCCTTAGCTTACAAAGGTGACTACACATGCAGCCACTCCCTCACCGGTATGCGTCAGAGAACAACATAGACATGTGGACCCTAAGGCATGCTGCAGAAGATACATAGGGGTGACATCCATAAGCAATAACTAATAAGGGTTTTGTTTTGCTTTGTCTTTGAGACAGGGTTTCTCTGTGTAGCCCTGGCTGTCCTAGAACTCACTATATAGATCAGGTTGGCCTCGAACTCACAGAAATCCTCCTGCTTCTGCCTCCCAAGTGCTGGGAGTAAAGGTGTGTGCCCCATGCTTGGCAACTAATAGTTGTTATTAACTGCAGCAAACTCGTGAAAACAAATTCCAGCTCTGTGTTGGATGAATCTTAAAACTTTGCACCACTTTTTAAATTTCAAAACAATCAAAAATAATATGTCCTTTGATATGCACGTGTATTTACAGAGAAAGAAGGTGATGGCAAACACTCATGCATTTGGCAGAGAGCAGTAGAGTGAGAATATAGGAGAGAACTTAAGTTAAAATAAGGCGCTTTCCACAGTATTTGCCTTTGTACCATAAGACAGTGTTCTTGTAATACATATGTCTAGCAATACAGCACTCTATGCATACAGCT